GGGGTCAGAGGTGCTGGGGGCGTCTGCTTACCCGTTTTGCCTTGGAGCGCGTTGGCGCGTCTCGGGGGTAGTGGCCAGGTGCATCAGAGAGATAGACTTCCACGTCATCAGGCACTTCTTCCAGGAAGTTTGAAGGTACAAGGCCTTTCTGCCCGTTCAGTTCCCCCTAAAAACACAGAACGAGTTACTCGATTTTCCCAAAACCTCCTTCTTGCTCTCACCACAGGAGCAGAGCTCTGGGGAGGGCTGCCTGCCGGGTCTGTTCTGGTTCAAACGTGGGAGAATTCAGAGGGACTCCAGTGTCTCCAAATTACCCTGATCCGGACAGTGACCGCGGGACGCGTTCGAGGGGCAGAGTCCCGTCCCCGAGGTCTGCACCTGGCCTGTCTGGGGTGGAGCTGAGGAAGGTCTGTTCTGGCCAGTGGGCTCAGGCAGCTCCCAGGAACCAGTCCTCAGGACCACCCCATGTAGTGGCTGTTGACCCCCTGGCTGACCTCAGCATCCCTCATCCCAAGACACCACTCGAGCAGATGCACCGATCCAGACAGACTGACCCCCTCCCGAGGCCAACATGTGGTCCAGCGTGCAGGCCAGGTGCAGAGCTACGCATCCGTCTCGTGCACAACCACATTCTCACCATAAAAATGCAAACAATTTGGGGGACATGAAAATGTCCGTTGACACCTCCCCAGAGAGGATACTGCTTCAGGTCTGTCTGTTCCCTTCCAGAACTTTCTCTCACATCTCTACGGAGGTACATAGTTAAGGTCACCGTCCACAGGACATTTGGACCGAGCGGGTCACGGCCACCATGTCACTTCCTCCCCACCGCCCCCAGTGCCCACCTGCCCCATCAGTGCAAGTCCCGGACTACATGGGAGTCTGTTGTTCTGTTTTCAAGTCCAAGAAATAACAGCATGGGATGCGCAGCCTGCTCCCTGATTAGAAACTGCAGCCAAGGGGAGCACCACCAGGGTGAAGAGTGAACCTATGGGATGGATGGGAGAACGTTCGCAAGCTACCTATCTAAGAAGGGGTCGTGTCCAGAACACATCGAGAGCTCAACACAAGAACCTGATTAAACGATGGGCAAAGGATCTGTATCGCTATTTCTCCCCCAAAAAGACACACAGACGGCCAACAAGTACATGGAAAGATGGTCAACATGAATTAACGAACATCTTAGGGAAATGTAAACCAGAATCACCAGACACCACCTCACATCTGTTAGGACGTCTACCACAGAACACAAACAAACAAACAAAAATTTAAAAAAACCACAGACAAAATATTGCTGAAAATAGGGAGGAATTGGAGCCTTGTGCACCTGCTGGGGGGGATGAGAAGTGGGGCGCTGCTGAGGGCAAAACGATCCAGTGGCTCCTCAAAAAGTTAAACCCAGAGTTACCATCTGACCCAGCAATTCCACTCCTGGGTCGAAACCCGAAAGACTTGGAAGCAGGGTCCGAGGGACGTGTTTGCACACCATGTTCATCACTGTGTTACTCGCAGGGGCCAAGTGTCCATTGACGGGCGAACAGCTAACTAAACCATGTGCACCCAGCGTGGAGTTATTTTCGGCCTCCCAAGGAAGGAGAGGGTGACCCGCGCTACGATGTTGCGCTCAGTGAGGTAAGGCAGGCGTGAGAAAAGTCCTTGTGTGTGAGGCCCGGAGAGCACGTGGATTCATGGGGACGGAGAGGAGATGGGGGGCCAGGGACGCGAGGGGTAAAGGGTGACTGGTGTTTACTGGGGATGGAGTTTCAGGGTGGCAAGCGGGGAGGAGTCCTGGAGGCAGACGGTGGCGACTTCACGACAACGTGAATGTATCACCACCGCACTGTGCACGTAGAAATGATGAAGAATGTGTATTTCATCACAATTAAAAATAAAAATTGATTTAAAAAAAGAGGTAGCCCCAGGTACCTCCCACCTCTTCCCAGCAAGAATCCCCTCTGAGCCCAATACGCACGCGCCGGATCTGGCCACCCGCCCTCTCTTCGACCCCGGAGTCCCCGTCCCCGTTCTCCTTCCTCGCCCTCCTCTAGGAGCTAAGGTCTCTCTCTCAGTGTCCCTTAGAGACTTCTGTAGGACATCTTTGCGGCTTACTGTACACATTTCTCCCACATCGAGGGTCACAAATCACGTCTACACCAGCCACTCCGCTGTCTACGAGCCCAGATGTCAGCCAGATCCTCCTCCCCACCAGCCACGCCTGCCCCTTCAGGGGAGCGCCACGTGGAGTTGTTGCTCGGGTCTGGGGACTGGGTTCTATGAAAGTGCACGGCCTCATCCTCACATCCCCGTGGGCACGCAGACCCAGACAGTCCCGCGCCCGCGGACATCCAGACGGGCCCCTGCTCGGGGCTCACCGAGGAGCTCGGGGATGGACCTGCCTCTTCCCCTCGTTCTCCCGGGCTTCTCGCGCCGTCCTGTGAACGCCACGTCGCACAGGACCCCCTCACGTTGCCCCCTCCGCCGCACGCTGCTGCATCAGACGTGGCCACTAGAATCTTCCAGGATCAACGGCACGGATCCCTCTCCATCATGGAGAGGCTCAGATGTCCTGTTCACACCCTCAAGCTCAGCATTTTCCAAAGCACATCTTTCTCTCAACTGCGTTCTCGTGCCCGTGTTCCCAAGGGCAGCCATCACCTGAGGCAGAATGTGGGCGTCTTCCTGGACAACACTCTCACCCCAACTAACAACCCGCGCTCTGGGAGCTACTGACGCTGCCTTCTGTCCACCCCCCTCGGCCACTTGCACTGGCCTGCAGCCCGCGCCCCGGCCTCGGGGGCCCCCACCTCCCTCGCCCACCCCCTCTCCAGCCCTCGACAGGACAGAAAGCCTGACGTCTGCCCGCTCGCAGACCCTTCACAGTCTCTTCTGGAAAGAGACGGGGGCAGAGTGTGAGCATCCTCACTGACACGGATCTGCAGTGATCACGAGCCTGGATCCCCACGTGCCTAAGGCTGTGAACTCATCTGACTCAAAGAGAAACCTGCCTTACCAGGACTTGATGGATTCCCAGCTGTTCTGATTAAAGAAAGGGGGGTGATGGGGGAGGTGGGACCCCTGGCACGAGATGGTGGTCCTGTCCCCCAGCCCCCCCTGGGGCGGGCACCCCACAGGCCTGCCAGCTGGCTCCTTCACAGCCCTGTGGGCTCAGGCCCGGGAGGGCGGCACTCAGGGGGGCCACCAGGGGGGGAGCACGACGAGAAGCCCATCGGCATTCTCTCTTTTCCTCAGGAAATGTCGGGAGGGTAAAGGACGGAGGCTGCCCCCGGGGCCACTGAGCCGGGAGCCTGGTCCCCGCTGCCAATGGCCGTCAGCTCCGAGGAAGGTCAGGGAGGAGTTCTATACCCTGTTGGTGTGGATTAATTAGTAACTTTGCCTATTTGTATTCCTTCCTTCTCCCGTATAAAAACGTATACCGTACAAATAAACAGAGAGTTAAACTGGTACCTATTTGGATGGAAGACAATTTTAGATGGAAGAATGGGAATACATGTGCTTTGTTTGCAGCTTATGGACACAGAAGTGCCCCCCTCAGAGCAGGAGGGATGGAGATGCTCACAGCCCCTCTTTCTGTATCAGACGAGCCCCAGTGACAGGGACCTTTCCAAAAGCCATAGGAAGCTTACACATAATTGTAGGGGCAAGAACACGCAAGCGGAAATAGACATGCAAAACGAATGAAATGGTGCTTTTTGATCTTTCAAAAACTTACATAATAAAATCCATCTTCATCGATCTCACCAAAAACGGTAATGATGTCTCCGGTGCAGAACGTCAGCTCTGCCTGTGGAGACAGAACGGCAAGTTAGTAACACCTTCGGCACGGAGTAGTCGGTTTTCCTTAGAAAGTTCTTCACGCTTGCTCTAACGATTTCTTTCTTCTCATTATTCCGGCGTTGACGTGCTCTCTCAAACAGGGAGGAAGGGTAGGAGGCCGACAGGTGCCTCCGTGCACGGCGCCTCAGGGACTCAGGAGGACGAACAGCTCAGGCTGCAGCCCGCCGCCCTGCAAAGCGCCCCGCGCGCTGCTCCCACCGGAGCTCAGTGTGAAGCGTCTGCCTTCGGCTCAGGTCATGATCCCGGGGTCCTGGATCGAGCCCCGCATCGGGCTCCCTGCTCCATGTGGAGCCTGCTTCTCCCTCTCCCTTTGCTGCTCCCCCTGCTTGTGTGCTCGCTCTCGCTCTCAAATAAATAAATAAATAAAATCTTTAAAAAAAATAAAATAGAACTGGTCAAAGAGTTAACTTGAAAAACCCAGAACTTCAGGGAAAAATCCTCTGCAGTGTAAGGACCGTTAGATAACTATCCTTTCACTGAGTGCAAAAAACCTTTACTCAATTATTCATTCTCTACAAAGTGTCCGTGCCATGCCAGGCACCAGCCTAGAGACGGGCACATGGACTCTAGTGGAGGGTGCAAACCCAAGACAAAATAACACGTGGGTTAATCTCTGAACGTGAAGATGAGGGAAGGAAGCTGACCTCTCAGGCCACCAGGTGTCCCCTGTGAATCGGGTCCATGCAGAAATGCTTGCAGAGTGCACACTCTGAATCTGAACCACGAGCTGGGAGCACGTGGGGCACAAGGAAAACCGTGGGTGACAGATTTGGACACAGCTGTCGTCTGAAAAAGCAGGTCCGTGGGCTGAAAACCGAGCCTCTCAGCTCTGGAGGCGACTCCCTTCCCGCCTCCCAGGGCGTCGAGGGCCACGCCGGCCCAGGCCATGTGTGCGGAGGACAGGGGGCCTCCCCCTCAGCTTCTGCGTGTGTGGGGGGCGGGGGGGGCCTTACAGTTCTGCTTTCGCTCGGGGCTGTTATTTCTCTCTTCCAGGCGACCCTACGGGGCTGTCACCGAGGCAGAAGATTGCAGACTGCTCCGCCCGTGGCGTCCCATATGGGGAGCCCGGGCCACGGCGACGGGGCCTGTCAGCTGCTGCACGCCTTCCCTGTCTCCTCCCACCCAGCTCCCTCATGCCATTTACTGCATGTACCGACCCTTCCAGATCCCACGGCCCCCAAGCCTCCATGCGGGGAGAGGCCCAGGCACCAGCCGTGAGCCGCAGCGGAACAGCGCCTGGCGCGTACCTCCACATCGATGTTAGGTGAGCTTTCTCGCGGGTCGTAATCGTACAGGGCCACCACCCTCCGCGTCGCCCCCGGGTGCCTGCTGCTTCTTCTGCTTCTCTCTGTTTACATCGCAAGGAGAAGAAAGCCATCAGTTGGTTATTCCGAAAGGAGTGGCGCCCCCTCTCCCTCATCCCCAGGGCAGCAGGGCACACGCGGCCAGCAGGACCCGACGACCGCTCTCTCCAGGGCCTCATGCTCGGGGTGCGAGCACCAGCGAAGCCTCCGGCTGTGGGGCCGGGCGCCCTGAGCTGCATGTTCTCGTATGTTTGCTCTGACCCAGTACCCCCTCTTACAGAGGACGCTTCCCTTCCCCGATGTGTCCGTCCAGTGGGGAGGCTAACATGAAGCAGGGGATCCTCCGGAATCAAAGCTCTCAGTGGCTCTGGGCAGCACAGGACGGTGCGTTTCTCCCAGAGGACCTGGCGTTGGTGCTTTTCTTCCAAACACAGCTGCTTGGTGCCTAGAACTGGTTTTTGGGATTCATACAAAGGAAAACCATTGAAGGCAAGTGTTTAGAAAGCAACTGACGTCGGTCATGTGCCCTTCCGGGGCGTCCCGCAGGTGCAGGGCCGGCCGCGTGCGAAGTTCCAGACATGGGCCACGCCTTGGGTCCTGCTCCAGGGTCGCCGCTGTAATTTAGAAAGCGCGAGGGCGCCTTTGCTGGGCCTGTGCATGTGTGTTTCCTTGAAACAGAGCACGGGCTTCCTGCATGGGTGCATCCAGTCCTTCTGGACGTTGTTAATTTTCTAGGGGAGGTGCAAGTACGAATCCCTGCAGGTGGCAAGAAGAGCCCAGAGATGCATTCTGTCCGGCGCCCGCTTCCGACCGTGTTGGCAAGCTCACGTGGTCACACAAGCCCTGCAGTCGTCAAGGTAGAGGACAGTTCCCTCAGCCCCCAATCGCCCTCCCGTGTCTTTGTGGTCACCCCCAGCCCAGGTAACCCCTGGTCTGTTTTCTGTCCCCATACTTTCACCTTTTCTGGAATATCCTATAAATGGAGTCATGCAGGTTTTAGAAACTGGCTTCATTCACCGGGACAATGCACCTGAGCTCCCTCCGTGTGACTGCGTGTGTCCACAGTGCTACTCTTATTGGTGAGGAGCATCCCCCTGTCCGAAGCATCAGTGACTCGGTCCACCTTCCAGGGGATCAGTGACGCGCCGTGCAGCCGCCACAAGCGCCCAAGCAGCTGTGGGAGCGCACAGAAGCTCCATTCCCCCGGGCGAGGACCCAGGAGGGGGCGGCCGGCTGGTACCGTGTGTCCGGCTGGAGACGGACCGCCCCCTGTTGGGCACAGCGGTCGTGGCACGCGGGTTCGCCTCCAGCCCTGAGGGGGCGTCCTGGCTTCTCATCGCGCTCTAACCGGCCCTCCATGGGTCCCGTATGCATCCCTCCACCTGCTCGTTCGCCATCCACGAGTCCTCTGTGGCAAAGGATCTCTTGGGTCTTTTGCCCACGGGGCACTGGTGGTTTGCTTTCCTGTCGTCGAGTTGTTGAGCGCAGTGTGTTCTCAGTACGGTTCCCCGTTCGGCCGGGTCCCTTGCAGATACTTGCTGCAGCCTGGGGCCTCGCTCTTCTTTCTCTTCATGCTGTGTTTCTCGATTTTAGTGAAGTCTGACATCAGGCTCTTCCTTTTCTGTGTCATGGTTTTAGTGTCACGTCAAAGAAATTGTGGCTTCCTCACCATGAAATTCTTCTCCTAGAAGTTTCATGGTCTGGTTTTATACTTAAGACCGTGTTCAATTTTAAGTTCATTTTTTGAGTTTCAGGAGTGTGGCCCGAGCTTTATTTTTCTTTGCCCAATTCCACCACCCATTACGGAAAGACCATCCTTTCCCCATTGAACTGCCCCCTCCCTGGGTTGAAACTCTGTGGACGGTGCAAGCGTTGGTCCGTTTCTGGATTCGCCCTGTTGCATGGATCACGGTGCCTCTGTGGCCTCCCACACCACCTGGTCTCCATCGGCTCCCCTGTGTGCCAGTCGTAAAACCTGCTTGCACGAGTCTTCCACTGTGCTTTTAAAAAATCGTTCGAGCAACTGTAGTCCCTTTGCCTTTTCGTACACGTTTGATTTAGCGCATTGAATCTACACGGATCCCTGCACGGACGTGGACCGGGGGTGCATCCATCTGCAGGTCAGTTTGGGGATGTTGGATGTCTTCACTGCCTGAAGTCCAGGAACATGATGTCTATTTACTTGGGGATCCTTGGATTTCCTTCCTCGCCATTGGTGGTCTCCCCCACACAGAGCCTGCGTGCATTCAACCCCTCCTTCTCATGTCTGTCACATCGTTGCAAATAGTATTACTTTTTAAATGTCAAGTTCAAATTTTTCACGGTTAACATTGGAAAAACAATTGCTAAGCTCACTCGATAGTTCTAGGAACTTCTGTTCTAGATCCTTTGAGATTATCTAAGTAGATTTTCATGTCATCTGTGATTAGAAAAAAGTTTGTCTTCTTTTCCGGTCTGCATCCCGTTTCCTCCTGTCTCACCGCACGTGGTGTCGGAAAAGGGCCGCGAGGCGGACGCCGGGTCCTGCCCCGGCCGCGGGAGATGTGCGCTCAGCCCGCAGGGACAATCCTACTTTGTAGTGCTAGAAGGGCCTGTGGTGGCTCAGTCTGGTTCCTTCAAAAGTCAGGTTTAGAAAAAAAGAATAAAGCAAACAGACATGTAATCTAAATGGTAACATGAATCAAGCCACTGTTTTCTAGCGGATCGCTTGCAGGCTTGCTGGGTGTGCGGTGCATAGAGCCCGCTCCCGCCCTGACCCCATCACTGTGGCCTTGGGAAAGGAGTCGGGGTATACGGGGCTCAGGAGCTTCGGCTCGCGGGCTTGACCTGGGCGGTGTATTCACAGGAGCTTCAACTACCAGATGTGGGTTTCAACTTCAGACTGTAAGTTCACTCATACCAAAGAGGTTGAAACAGTGTATTTGATTTTGTGATTATCCTTAAAATTATGCATATTCTTTGAGCCATTGAATTTTGTCTCTGAAATCCGATTTAGAACTAAGTTAACTTAATGTTTTGAAGTATTAAAACTTAAAACGTGAATGACATAAAACGGATCTTTCTGTCTGTAGCTATTTAGAGAAAGCAAAGGCCTTTGTAATGAGTAGATTTTCCCTGCACATGTGCACAATTAGAAATCATAAATGTAATGTTTAAATTCACTGAAAATAGTTTTGCTGTGTACTCACTGGTGCTTGCAAATTGGGTCAAGATAAATGGAGGAGTCTGTCATCCGTCCACATTAAAGCGTGAAAATCTTTTCTGCCTTTTGGATGAGCAACACCCACCTGGATGGAAAGCATGGCGTGACCTCATCACCCTCTGACCCGTACTAGGCATGGGCGAAGGCTCACAGCTCATCCCCGGCGTCCCGGTCCGTGTGCACCACCCGAACACAGTGCAGTCGCTCCTCACGGCTCTGGGGGCTGGAAGTCTGAGGCCGAGGCGCCGCAGGGTCAGGGTCTGGGGAGGATGCGTGTCCTGGTCCACAGGCTTCTTCTCCTGTGTCCTCGCGGGGTAGAGGAGGCGAGGGACGCCCGTGGGGCCTCCTGGATGAGGGTACTGATGCCCTTTTGAGAGTTCTGCAGTCATGACGTCAGCCCCTCCCAGAGGCTTCGCTTCCTGACCCCAGCACCGTGGGGGTCACATGATAAACTTACACATTTTAGGGGGACACAACATGCACAAACAACCAGAAAGCAAATAGTCTATTTTCTAGATGGACTGTCTATTTTCTAGACAGACTTTTAGTAAGCGAGGCTGCACTTCATCTTCCATTAGAAAATCATCTATGTTTTTGTAAATATTTAGGTGCATAAATGTCCCCAAAGCACGCAGGACCATCACAACCCGGTTTATAGAGTGGGTTCATTTTCAGTCTGGGATGGCCCAGACTGGACCCTGTCCACACCACCTCCTGCTCCTGGCTGGCGGTGTGGCCACGGGGTGCTGGGGGAAGCAGAAGCGGCCCCGCCAGCAGGTGCAGGGGTGAGCCGGGGGCGGGCTCTTACCTATTTTCTCCACGGGCGTGTTCAGAGGAAGGAAGCCTTGCCTCAGAAGCTGGTCCATCATTTCCTCGTCGTCGGCCTGGATTTCTGAGACCATGTTACAAGGAATCAGGCCGAGCCGGGCGCAGGTCTCCCCACGGTAGAAGCCGTCCGCGTCTTTGTCACCATAGACCTGCAGCCAGTGCGGAGGGCCAGTATGATTGCTGGGTCGCAAGCGCATCAGCTCTGCCGGCGCGGACCCGCGTGTCATCATGATGTGTGGGAAGATCCCGCGGTCACCTACACGCGCCCTGCAGACGTGCACACCTGCCCCTCCACCCACACAGCCTGAGAACCAGCTTCTGCCCCAGGGTCTGGACAACCCGCTGGTCTCCCCATCAGGGCTCTGGCTTCACTCTGCCGGCTGTGTGTGAGGAGACCCCACCCGACAGAGAGGACTTTGAGACTCCTCCCAGCGGTGTTTCCGTCCATAGCAAAGGGCTTCCTCCGAGAGACGGAGGGCCAGGCTGTCAGGTTCCTACTTCAGACTCACAAGGTCCCTCCTCTCAGCTGGTCCGAAGGCTGAACATATAAAGCAACAGAACGAGCCTGCCCTTGGGACGAGCTAAGGAATTACAGTATGGTGACAGCAGCTCCCTACCCCGGGTGCCCCACCTGCCCGGCAGCCCCCAGCCCGGCCCCCACCTTGATGATCTGTCCTTCCTTAAAAGGAAGCTCTTCTTCGGCAGCATCTGGATTCGGGGACATGGTGAGGGGGTCATAGTCAAAAAGCGCCACAAAGATCCGGGCTGGGAGCTCTTCGGCACCTGGGTCGGTCTCTGACTCTTCGTAGAAGTCTGGAGAAAGGCGGTCCCGCTCACTGTACTCGTCTGGGAGCATGTGGGGACAAAGACAGAGGGCTAGGTGATTCCTGGACTTGGAGACGTGTGCTATTGTAGGAAGTGTGGTTTAGAAGATGGGACGGTGGAGGCACTGTGACTTGTCTTTAAAATAAATTTGTGGTCAATATGCAGATCGACACAGATGGGTTTGAAAAACCAGCAGCTGTCATGGAACTCGAGTGTGGGACAGGCCATCCGCCGCAGAGCACAGCCGGCAGGACGGCCCCCCACCCCCACCCTGGTCACCAAAAGGCACCTGCATGTGAGTCAAAGTTTGGGGTACTTCACCGAGCTGCTCACTTAGCTCTAAATACTTAAGTGGCGACAAATGCATTCTTCACGTATTTATTTGTCAGAGAGGGAGAGAGAGAGAGAGCGTGCACAAGCAGGGGGAGGGACAGAGGGAGAAGCAGGCTCCCCTCTGAGCAGGGAGCCCAATCCTGGACTCCATCCCAGGACCCTGAGATCATGACCTAAGTCAAAGGGACCTCTGGGGAGGTCACAGTCCCCTGGTCAGAACGGGATCCCCTCGAGTGGGGCATCTCACGTGGAGCAAAGACCAACTATGATAAATGCAAAGACCAGCCACGATCCAGCGAGAAACCGCACCCAATTCCATCCTCCTGCGAGTCATGGGTCAGTGTCAGGAGGCTTCCTCATGCTGATTGTAAGGTCGAGAATTTACTACATCCAGACCGACATACTTTTTCTCTTTTTAAATCTTTTTAAGTCACTGTTTTCTTAGTTTAGGACACCTAGAGAATATGAAAAGGTATAGTATTTTTATTCAATTGTGAATGCATTGCTTCTTAAAAATCTGTTCGGGGGGTGCCTGAATGGTTCAGTCGATTAAGTATCTGACTCTTGATTTTGGTTCCGGTTGTGATCTCAGGGTCGTGAGATCGAGCCCCACGTCGGGCTCTGCACCAGCCATGGAGCCTGCTTCAGATTCTCTCTCCCTCTGTCCCTCCCCTGCTCATGT